CAACACACTCACTTATACTGATATAGAAAGCCACGGATACGAAGAGCGGGTCATATACTTTCTTCTTTAATCTATGTCTTTCTATTTACAGATTACTTACACACACACACACACACACACACACACACACATACACACACATATGTATGTATATATATATATATATGTGTGTGTGTGTGTGTGTGTGTGTGTGTGTGTGTGTGTGTGTGTGTGTGTGTGTGTGTGTGTGTGTGTGTGTGTGTGTGTGTGTGCGCGCGCGTGTGTGTGTGTGTATGTATGTATGTGTGTGTGTTTTATTTATCTATCTGTCCACATATCCTTGTATCTTTGTGTCTATTCTATCTACCTGTTTGTCTGTTTAGCTCGCTGTGCATTTTTTATATTCATCCATCTGTCTAAATTTCTATCCATTCTATTCTATTCCTTTTCTACTTCTGTTTCTATCTCATCATTGTCTTTTTTCTTTCTGCTCTCTCTCTCTTTCTCTCTCTCTCGTTCTCTCTCTCTCTCTCTCTCTCTCTCTCTCTCTCTCTCTCTCTCTCTCTCTCTCTCTCTCTCTCTCTATATCTATCTATCTATCTATCTATCTCTATCTATCTATCTCTCTATCAATCTATCTATCTCATTTCTTTCTCTCTCTCTCTCTCTCTCTCTCTCTCTCTATCTATCTATCAATCTATCTATCTATCTGTCTATCTATCTCTCTCTCTCTTTCTCTTTCACTCCCCCTCCGCCTCCCCCTCCCCTCCCCCTCCCCATCCTCCTCGTCCTCCTTCCCCTCCCCCCCTCCCCCTCCCCCTCGTCCTCGCCCTCCTCCACCTCTCTCCTCCTCCGCCTCCTCCTCCTCCTCCTCCTCCTCCTCCTCCTCCTCCTCCTCCTCCTCCTCCTCCTTCTCCACCTGCTCTTCACCCCTTCTCGTTCTTTCTCTATCTATCTTCAACACGCGTGCTAACGAGCGTATGTGCGTCCTGTGTCTAGAATAATAAGAGAAATAACGAAGAAGAAGAAGAAAAGAAAACTAAAAAGACTCGGAGCAAGAAGGCAAAGAAGAATAAGAAAGTTCTCAAAGAACCAAGATAAGAAAACGTCTTTCACAAATGTCCAGCGCCTTCTTGGAACGCAAAAAGGGTCACAGGTTTGGTCGTCTCTCTCTCTGTGTCTTCTTGTTTATCTCTCTCTCCGTCAGTTTCTTTGTCTGTCAGTCTGTTGGCCTCCTTTTCAATCTCTCTCTCTCTCGCTTGTTCGGTCTCTATGTCTTTGTTTCTGTTTCTGTCTCTATGTTTCTGTCTTTGTCTCTCTCTCTCCCCCCCCCCCCCCTCTCTCTCTCTCTCTCTCTCTCTCTCTCTCTCTCTCTCTCTCTCTCTCTCTCTCTCTCCCTCTCTCTCTCTCTCTCTCTCTCTCTTTCTCTATACACACACACACACACACACACACACACACACACACACACACACACACACACACACACACACGCACACACACACACACACACTCACACACTCACACACTCACACACTCACATGCATAGATAAATATAAAGATGGAGAAATATATGGAATAAGAAAGTGAGACAGCAATAGATAGCTAGGCAGGCATATTGATATAAAGATAGAGTAAAAAAAAAAACATGCAGATAGACAAACCGATAGATATAGACAGACAGACGAGTGTGCAATCAGCCATTAGCCCCCCTCCCCCCTCCCTCCCCCTTTCTGCATGGTAAAAGCAGGAACACATGCGTGACAAATCTCATGGTATTTGAATGATCGATTGAAGGTTAAAAGATAAATGATGTGTCTATCGAACCTTAATTTACATATATTTTTTTATTATCTATGATCCACTACAGCAAATATTTTTCATTCTTCGGAATATATGCCAAATGTGGTTATGATAATTGCATCTTTAGTATTTCTATAGGAATCATCATTGTGACTATCTCCATAATCGTTATCAGTTTTACTATCCATATTATTATCATTAAAACTAGCATTCTTATTCTTATTCGTAATCTTATCATTATTATTATTACGAGTATTATCATCACTATTAGAAAAAAAAGCAGCAGAAGCAACAATAGCAGTTTTAGCAGTAGTAATAATAGTATTAGTATTAGTATATTGCAACTGTCATTACTATCGTTATCATTTCATTCATCAACATCTTTTAGTGTTGCCATTATAACCAATTTATTTTATCATCCTTATTGTTAATATCTCCTTATCATTACTACTACTATCTCACAGCCGCGGAGTCTCGTGGTGAGGTCATCGAAATTCGAGGTCAGGGTACAGAAGAGTCCAGTAAACGATGTATGTGGGTGTATGAGCGAGAGATAGAGATAGATAGATATATAGATAGATAGATAGATAGATAGATAGATAGATAGAGAGAGAGAGAGAGAGAGAGAGAGAGAGAGAGAGAGAGAGAGAGAGAGAGAGAGAGAGAAAGGGAGGGAGAGATAAATAGTGTGTGTGTGTGATATATATACATATATATG